CTATCCTATCAATATAGGCCAACATTTCTAAAGAATGCTTTCAGCACCTTGTTGAATCAATGCCACGTAGAATTAAGGCAGTTCTGAAGGCAAAAGGGGGTCAAACACCGTATTAGTATGGTGTTCCTAATAATCCTTTAGGTGAGTTTACAGTATATACTGTATATGACAACCTGAAGGACACCACCGAAATTAACTGTAGTGGCTGAGGGAGAACAAAGTGAATGTCCTTGCATGGCCTAGTCACGTGCCAGACTTTAATGCCACAGAAAATCTGTGGACTGACTTGAGGATTGCAGAGAGAGGAATTTATGATGAAAACAGGCTTCTGGGCCATTTTTCACTTGGAGGGGAGGGGGGGATTGCAGTGCACCTGATAGACATGCCAGAGTGAATTTGTTGAGTCTTGGAGCCAGCAGTTTTATACCAAAGACATGTAGTTTGGCTTACTGACAACTCTAATTTGGCTGTAGTGAGTGATTGAATGTGTATGTCCATGTGTATGGGATAGACTGGCATCCTGTCCTGGATGTACCCCAGACTTGTGCCCTACGCTGTCTGCGATTCGCTCCAGTAATCTCCATGACCCACATCAGTATAAGTGGTTAGAAGAAGATATATGGATGAAATAACTGGCTGATGATCAGTCAGTCTGATAAATGACAATAGCTGAATTGGTAACTTGCTAATATGCTCTTGAAAGTGGTGTCGTTTAAGATAATTAATTGTCATTTGTTGCATCAAGTAGACTCAAGCATATTATTAGTCATGCAAGACTGAAGAAATAATAGATAAGAAGACTAATAACAGAGTCTTTGGCTGGATATGAAGCAAACCATTTTCCTGGTTTGTGTTCCATTTCTAAAAATTATAAATATAGTATATTTAAAATTAGCTAGTGGTGGGTATAGCTAACTGAAAAGTTAGCTTCTATGACTGTTATTCCGCCAGCTCCAAAGATTCATTTGATAATGCTAAACTGATAAACCACTAAATAGTTTAGCTAACAATAACCACTAACTGCTAACTTGTACTTTATGAATATAGCTGTGAGATATAAACATTTTTGACTGTGTGGTTATTCCATGACTGGCTCATGCTAACCTTATGCCCTCAGTGAAGCCGCTTGGGGACTACAAACATGGCGCCATTTACCCAGAACTATGAAGGAGGCTCTTTATTGATCTATAACGCTTTCAGTCAGAACTTGGAATATAAGCAGGGAGAGAAGCAGGATTTCATGCTTAGCAGGATAACTTGTATTAAAGGTAGTCTGGGCTAAATGTATGTAAACAAAGATAAAGTCCATTTAATTTTGTCACCAGTATTCTGCAGTACACCATATTACCGTAATAACACTCAGCTTACTAACAAATAGCACTTCATGAAAGTTTACCCATTTTACTACACTGCTTGAATTTGTTATTCTTTCTGCAATTTATCTGCCCTCTGGTGGTCTGGTGGAATATCATTGTTGTATTCATGTGCCACCTGCAATAATCTACGTCTACAGACAAATATAGTACTATATGTACACAAGAGTCCGCGTGCACCGTAACAGCATGTGAAAAAGTGAAGTATGAACTAGGTTTAACACACCAACATTAACGTTGCTAAGTGGTTTTGTCATTATATGCAACTTATGCCACAAACCATGAAAAATGCAACCAATCGGTGACAATTCATAATCAGCTATGTTTTAATTACTGATTATTGTTGATATTAGCCTATTGATTAGTTGTTGCAGCCCTAGTTGTAATAAAGGTCTATGAGGTAGTAGAGGTATTAGGGTGTTGGTAAATAAAACACGGACATCAATTTAAAACATCCAATATCTCCACATGGAGGTTACCACTAATTAAAAAATGTTTTCTTGTTTCTTTAATCTCCACAGATGGTGAAAATGTGTTGACTTGCCTCCCACAGAATCCAGACAGACATTGTTTGCACTTGTGTTCCTTATAAGTTAAATATAATTCATTTTGATTTTAAAAGTGCTTAATGATTACTTTAGAATAAAGAAATAAAGACTCCTTCATCTGAAGATCCACAGTGAAAAGGTGATAGATGGATACACACAGATTATTATCTAGTTCAGAGGTCATTCAAATCTTGAAGAGTACTTACTGTAAATGAAAGTGGTATGCATTAGGTCCTAGGACAGGATTAAGAATGAGGATTAGATACTTTTCAGTGCAGGTTGTGATTTTTTTTCAGGCATCACCCTTAGATTAAATGAAATGCATTTAATTTACTGGCTTCAGATGAAATCTTTACTATACCTATACAGTCCTGGTTTGTGTGTTCTGAAAATGCACAGCATATGTTTATGTAATGTGTCATTCTTTGTTGCCTTGGAGACCATTTTGGTCTGCTTAGTGTGCTGAGATGCGTCAGTGTCCATACTTTTGTTCCACACATCATTCATATGGCTATAAAGCTGTCAAATAAAATAGCTGGTTCATTGCATAGGGACATTCCTGAGCCTAAATAAGCTTCAATTGCTGGAATAACCCTACAGCATTGAAATCCCAAAGGAGCAATTTAATTAGCTTTAATAATGTCAGGCTCTCCTCTTTCCATTTGCAGGAGGACAGGAAGAAGACCTCTGCATTATTCATTATTATTATTACCGGTATTATTATTATCGTTGTTGTTTTTTGTTATCATCAAAAATAATAATAATCATCATCATCACTATCTCTGCATCCCATACTAACATAAAGGAGGACTGGTGTATAGATGATACTCTGTTTTGTGGTATTCCCTGTTTGCTCTAATTTATGTGCAGTATTAACAAAACCATAAAAATTATTTTTAAAATGCATGGTACATTATATTTCACCTTTAATACAGAGTAAAATATTCCTACATTTAAATAAATGTCTATGGAGCAGTGTTATTAGTAACATTAAATGCTGTATGCAGTGTGTTTCATTTTCCTGTCACTTTGCACCACCAGCCCTATACAATATTGCACATTATTGCGCTGCATTACTTTTAATTGGTTTATGCATTACCTGGAAATTTTGTCATGTAAACAATAACCACTCATTAAACAATTGTTACAACAACAAAAAAACAAACAGAAAATACTGCTTACAATGAATATTTTTCAGTTCAGTACCAGTTGCTTCCTATGAAACTATTTAATCCTTTTAGAATTCAGTCCCTTAAGTTACTCTTATTTATACAAACCAATTTACTGAACACAGATGTGCAGTTTAGTCTGCTGTAGGACTCATGATGGATACTGCATATACAGAACCTTTCCATTGACATGGTGAAAAGCTTTATTTCTCCAGAGTAAAAGGCTTGTTTTTGCTGTCGTTAACCAAAACATTATAAAATTACTAAAAAGCGTTTAGTTAAATGAAAATAATAACAATATTGTGTTCCATTAGTTTAAACATAAAACTACTGATTTGTGTTTTAAAGAGATGTGGAAACCTTTTTATTTGAACAAAATGAGAAATCTTACCACAGCTAAATACCTGTGTTTGAATGTAACCAAACTTATAACAACAACAGTAAAAATGACCTAGGAAAGACAAAAAGGTTATTTAGGGTTATTTTTAATTGAATTGTTTGCTTAAGCATTTGCTTAACATTCTTTGCTCAATATGATGGCGTGCTTTTTTAAACAAAACAGAGAATGTCAGGAAGAGTTTCCATGACAACAGTTCCCTTGTTAAGAAGAAGAATATTAATGAAAAAGAAGGTGTGATCTGTAATCTGCCAAGTTTTGTTTTTTAATACGATATTGCACTTTGAGTATAAAAAAATATTTCAATTACACCTTAGCAATCTTATGTTTTATTTATCTGTTTATTTTTAAGACATGCAATAATCGCTGTGCAAAACAGAATAATACTGTACACCTCCTGATTATTGGAATGCTGTAATGTTTTTTGTAAGGGTCTACTTAGTTGGTTTAAGAATAGCCCTCTGTTTACATGATTTTAATTGGTAGGATATTGTGCCTGACTTAATAGGTTATTATTTACCTGGAACACCTGCCATGAGAACACCTACATCTGCTTTTGCATTTTGGTTGTAAACCAAAACCAAGTGTGAACCAAATGTTTCAACAACTTTCAAAAACTGTCTCAAGAGATTGTGTCATTTAGTGTATATTTGAATGCATGTTTTTGGAAATAACACTGAACAAAGTAAGAATGTAATATTTAATGTAAAATGTTAGCACTTTGAGTGTACAGGGTGTATAAATTTGATCTTCAATTAGATATCAGATTGATCACTAAATTGTGCAACGGTGGCTTTCCTTGCAAAGCAGAAAATTGCATTGAGAGGGAAAAAAATAGTAATTTCATTTACATTTAAAAGCAAATGCTTTAGGCAGACATTTGTGGGCAAGCGAAAAATTGAAACCAGCTAGTTCATTAAAAGCAAGCACTGTATTCAGTAGAATCAGAATGAATCTGCTATCAGCCCTTTTGTCTTTGCTACTGGCCATATCTATCCCAATTTCCTTTTCAAAGACACGCAGAACGAGTCTGCCTTTGTGCTGGTGACAGCTGTCCTTTTGATCAGTAGTCATGCTAGGAGTGAGGGCATCAATATGATTCCCTATTGTATAAACTGGAGGCGCCTAAGCAGCCGTTCAGCCACCTCTTGACATATGAACTCACACTGACACATTTTGGTTTGCTCTCCACAGATGCTACCATTTCTCCAATTGATGACCTGTGTGGAGCCTCAACTCCCTCCCCCAACTTCCTCTCTGCACCATGAATCATCCCAAGGAAAGCAAGGCACGGACGCCCCAAGATCACTTTCTGACAGCGGCTGTTGAATAGGTGTGATCGATGACGTTGGCTCATAAAAAGGTCAACTGGCCTTACACACCCATTTTGGTGGCAGCCAGGGTCATAGTGGGCTTCAGTGTGGAAAGGTTAATCTGAATCATGCTCATTCTTATGCAACAGATGTGCTATAATAAAGAGAAAGACTGAATGGAGGATAACAGTCTGAGGAAGCAGCGGTGCTATCACTTACAGCAAAAGATGAGACTAAAAATATGATGGGGAAGAACTACTAGAAAACTAAAAGTATTTTCTATACACATGAAAATAAATAAGGAACCACAACTTTAGAAAACAATGTATGCTGCCCCTGTTGTATTTATCAGTTACACTTCTGTCCTCTAACTTTTGGAATATTTAGAACTTACTCAGTATGGATGTATATGATAGAAACGTGTCAGATCTTTCTGTGGATTATTTTAACAAAACTACAACAATTAAGATTCTCCTTTCCCTGACATTGTCCTTGCTGGCAGTGATCACCACCACTATTAACTCTATGGTCATCACAGCGATCATTGTCACCCGTAAGTTGCACCACCCTGCCAACTATCTCATCTGCTCCTTGGCAGTCACCGACCTCCTGGTGGCTGTCCTGGTGATGCCCTTCAGCATCGTCTATATTGTGAAGGAGTCTTGGGTTATGGGCCAGGTGGTGTGTAACATGTGGCTGAGTGTGGACATCACCTGCTGCACCTGTTCCATCCTCCATCTGGCCGCCATTGCCTTGGACCGTTACCACGCGATTACGGATGCGGTGGAGTATGCCCGAAAGCGGACCTGCCGGCGTGCCACCATCATGATCGCTACAGTGTGGGTCATGTCCGTGTTCATCTCCCTGCCTCCGCTCATCTGGAGGCATCACCAGACAAGAGGGGATGATGGATGTCTCATTAAGCACGACCACATTGCCTTCACCATCTATTCGACCTTTGGGGCCTTCTATATTCCCCTTGGCCTCATTCTCATTCTCTACTACAAGATCTACCGGGCCGCCAAGAGCCTCTATGTCAAGCGGGGTACTAGCAGGCTTAGAAAGCAAACTATGAATGGCACCATGCTGCCTTTGTTCTCAGACAGGGAGCCACAGAGCCCCGACACTCTTAGCCCACAAGAGAAGTCATTTTCCGACCTTTCCACAGAGGGGGACCGTGTACGTATCACCAGTAAAAGCCCCCCAGGTGGGTCCCATAGGGAAAGGTCCAGCAGGAAGCACAGGGTATCCAGCACCCGGGAGAGGAAAGCAGCCACTACCCTGGGCCTCATCCTGGGGGCATTTGTCATCTGCTGGCTACCATTCTTCCTGAAGGAGGTGATTGTCAACACATGTGCTACCTGCAGTACGTCTGTGGAGGTGGCTGACTTCCTGACCTGGCTTGGGTACCTCAACTCACTTATCAATCCACTCATATACACAATCTTCAATGAGGACTTCAAAAAGGCCTTTAAGAAACTGATGAGGTGTGGCCGTTATATTCAATAGAACACAAAAATACCAGTTCATTTGCAATACTGTAAGGTACAGTATATTCTGAAAACAATTCAACATAAGTCCATATGAATGCAAACCAGATAAAACAGCAACGTGATGTAAAATCATTTCATGCTAATGAAGACATCAATCATTTGAGGTTGCATTAGTTAATCTCAAATCAGTTAAAATGTAGTTGATTTTGAAAAGATGTTATCACTTATACCTATATTTATACTGTATATTTGGCGCTCCCTTGTCTGTTCATACACAATACATGTACTGTCACCTCCCTGATTAGAAAATGCACCAGGAGACCATATAATAATCATGATTAGCTATCCAGTGATATTTGATTTGAACAGTATCTTACTATAGCAGCAACTGTTAATTGTCTTATATTATTTAAAATCACACATACTTTTGTTCCTTTTAGAGTTGAAAATGTCTTTTGTCACAAGTATTGCTGTTGCTATGTATGTAACATTTCTTAATATAGGAGGATAATTTTCCTTTGTGTTGGGTGGAAAGCATAAATGAAATGTTTGTCATGTTTCAGAACTGCTATCCAAATTGCCCTTTACTTTCAAATTGTTTATTTTTAAACTGGGATAAAAATATTTATTCCTAATAGCTGATTGAACATCAATATTAAACACGATTATTGCTAATTAACTAAACATTATACTAAAAACTATTAACTGAAAATGTGACTGTACCTAACAACATCAACTGGCAAAAGTATTTAAAATAACATGATAGACCAGAATATCAAACTCAGCAAAGAAAAAATATTAAATGGTACATTGTATAATTTGCCAAAATGCAGGTGTACATGTTAATAAATTTTCTATGAAAAGAAATCAAATCTGTAAATTACCAGCAAACCACTTAAAAATCAATTTTAGTTGCATATATAATAATATATTCTACCTCATATTTGGTTCAGGCAACCTATACATTTGAGAGTGATGGTGCTGTTGGAAACATAAGAAAGCATCCAGACCATTGCAAAATGGCTGTAACATTTTCCTAGGCCACTGTTTTCAGTGTTCTGCAACTACATTACAGTATATAATAATAATAATAATAATAATAATAATACATTTTATTTTCAGCGCCTTTCAAAACACCCAAGGTCACTTAACACAACAAATCACAAATACATAAATAAAAAACATAGTAAAATATAAATACACAAAATTACCCATAAAATGCACAAAAATATAAAATAAAATATATAAATAAAATATGAACCTTAATCTTGTGCAGAATTAGCTATGAATGTAGCTGATTTTTTGACACACCAAGTAAAAGCTATGCTGAATACTGCTTTAGTGTTAAATACCAGTATAGACTGGCAAATGCTGCCATCTGCTGTCCTTAATATGTAGAAACGTGACAAAGGTCACTCATTAGAAAAAAAATATTTCGTAAAATTGCAAATAAATTGTAAGATGCTGCAGCAAATATATATTCTATCTTGACATATAAAACAAAAATAAAAACAGATGTGCCTTCTTCACAAAGCAAAAATTGAACAATTTCTCTTGGTCAGGTTTGTTCATGTAAGCTGATGATAGGTCAATACAAACCAGCTTCCTGGGATAACAAAGACCCAAGAGTGCCATGCCAAGAAGCAGCAAAGCAACTGAAGCCCAGCACAGTAATATGACCAGGGCCAGCTCCTGTCTCTTAGACTGCATAACCAGATAGCTGTAGAAGGGGGTTATTGTTGTTTTAGGGCAGACAAGGTATCATCATTAGAAGTCTTGTACAAACACATGGGCTCTCCAGCTTTGAGGTATCAGGCAAAGCAATCCAGCTCTGATGAACAGCACAACTGCTATGACCAAGCCTTGGCAGAAGACTCTCCTAAGAAGTACATTTGACCCCACCATGGCAGCCAACAGGTTGGTGACAGCAAGGGAAAAGCATGATGCAGTGCTGCCAACCTTACAGTCTACTTACAAGGTAATAAAACTGTTACATAAATGTGAATGCATATGTGCAGACTTGTCTCGTATTGAAAATCTCACTCCAAACTCCAATCGCCGTGTGCTCCAAAGCACATAGTTCACCCACAGGACTTACCACTAAACCACATCAGTGCATTGTACAAGACATGATAGCCCACAGTGCAGTATACCCAATGCCAGTTTCAATAGCAAGAAAAAAAGATGAAAATCTTTCAATACTTACCTTTGTGTACCATACATCACAGAGACACATGCTACGTTAGAATGTTACAATTTTTACGTGGACGCAACTATGTAGCAGTTTACGTTACTGTATATTTGATTTTACAATAATGTTGAAATGTCAAACGTGGCCAAAGTACGTGTTACAGCACATGTAACGAAACCATACGCACATAACGGTTTACCTGTCCGTGCCTTCTGTCCGACAAGCCATAAGCAAACGACACCGCGAACCGTAAGTTATGCAGCGTTTTGTTTCTAGCCCGAATGTATAGTACGGCAGCGTATTGCTGCCACAATAATCAAATAAAATTTGATAAGTTTCTAGTTACAACGTGCTCCTAATTACCTCGTTGTTACGAGACACGTATCTCGTTATAACTAGTAAAACGTTTCACGACGGCTCTTTTGTATATGGAACACCGGGTATGATTGTAACATGGGAAGAGTTGTAACACCACCAATTCCATCAATCAGGAATAAGATGAGAGTCACGATGTAATCATTTCAGTGTTTACATACTTCCTCCCTAAACCCACATGACGGATATCAAGGCTGGAATCAGGTACATGCAGATTTTACAAATAAAAAACAGATTTTGAGGTAAGAAAGTAATTTTTTGACCAAGACTATGTTTTGTTTAATATTTATACTATTGCAGATAACATCATATATGACTTAAATAAGATTAAATTGTAGTTTCTCAGGTGAACTGTGATGTATTTTTCCCCTGCTAATTTCAAACCACTATCCTACTACAGCTAGATAAACAATAGCTAAGAGGGGTGGGGTTTGTTGTAACATATCTTTAAAAGTGTTACAACCATCCCCTTACAAGGACACTTTCTTAATTTTAATAATTTTACAGAATACCTAAACAGTGGAAAAGTTAGACTGAAAGAGGTGTGTCTGCCAGCGTTTTAAAAAAAGCATCTGATGAGGTCACAAGGAAGGGCAAGTCAGGCTGGTCAGTTGCAATTTTGCAAAGGCACATGGGATCTGCCATGTAACATTGAGCAGATACTGCAAATCACTGCAGAAACTGACAGATCAGGGGTCCAGTGATCTTCTCAGTGTAGGTTACCACAGCAGCAACAAAGTTTTCTCTGAGGTGCAGGAGGAGGTGCTGGCAGAATATGTGACTCAGGCGGCAGACCTGTATTATGGCCCGACAGTCCCTGGGCCCACCAAGCCTGTACTCCAGGGTTACCAAGATTCATTTGTCAGCATTGTTACTCTGATTAAGAATACACACATTATTTTTTATTAGACTTACATGTTTTTTTTTTTTTTGCACAGATGCATTATAGTAGAGTGTTGATTAAGCTAGCTTACATACCATTAATGAAGTTTGTTCTAGCAGACTAGTGGATTTGAGTTAACAAGTAAGTCACAGAGACATTGTTCTGGATTGTTCGCTTATTTCAATAAACCTCTTTTTGAAGTATATAGCATGGTGTGGCTCATGTTTTTGCTTCTTTTGTCTGACTGTTACAACTTACCCAAGTACTGTATGTGTTACAACCTACCCCAGTAGTGGGGTAGGTTGTAACAAAAGAACACCATGTATTTGTCATGAATTCATAAGGTCTGTGATATTCTTGCAGAGGTTTGACTTGGTGCAGTTTGTAGCAAACAAATGTGGGTACTTTATATAAAAGTTTAAAAACTCTAGCTCAAAAACTCATTGAGTTATAGATGGTAAAGCAAAATGTGTTACAACCATACCCGGTTTCCCCTATATAGGTTTGAATGACCGGAAAATTCAACTTTAGTCAGTTTGCTGAATACAGGTACAAAACCAGTGAAATGCAGTTAACATCTAACTAGGTGCAGATTAACAACATATGAATACAATAAATTATAATAAACTGTAGATATGACTGTAAGTGTACAGTATGGTTCTGTGCAAAATATACGAGGGAGTCCGTGGCTTAAGGTGCAGGAAGTACAGTGAGTATGACTGTGCTACGAAAAGACAAGATGCTGTGATACAAGTGCAAACAAGAGATTTAATATATGTGCAAAGTAGCAGTTCGTGTAAACAAATGAGCAGATAGTGCAAACAAAAACAGTGAAGGTACCAAATTGTGTACTTTTGAGCACATTACAGTTGTAGGGAAAAAGCGATTCCCCAGCTTAACCTCTAAATTCCACTGTAGAACTGGATGAGACTTTGTATGGCTACTTGTCAGGTATAAAAGAATATTCTCAAGTTTTAATGCGAGACTTAACATGCGCCCCATTACAAAGATTTGAGCACAAGTAAAACTCGTAGTATTTGCGGACAGACGGTCTGTAACCGCGGGTGGCTTGACCGCAGTCTTGTCCCCAGCACGAAATAAAACGTGATCAAAAATGTAACATAAGAAACATTTGTCGTTTAACTAAATCATTTAGGTTTTCATTTTAATCAAATTAGTATTATATTATACCGCAAACCTTTCTTGTTTTAACGATATAATTTCATATCTCGTTATAACGAGAAATCGGCCAAATTTTATTTAATCAAAATAGGCTATAATAAAAATTATATTCAGTTATGTAAATTCCTCAATTTCTGTCTTCTAGCTTATTTCTGGAGGTGATCAAATTATTTTCATTATTTTCTATATTTTTGTCATGTTTTCACTATGTATTTAATTACCATGTTATTTTATGCTTAACTAAGTTAACGCAAAAGGAAACCATGTAATGGCTATAGCCGTGTCTGCAAGATTAGGTGTTTCTTATTGTTCCATTAATTTGTTTACAGGCAATTGTAAGCAATAATAATTGTCATATACTTGAAGCAAAATAGCTGAATTAGCAGTTCATTTTATGGAAAAGTTTACGGCAACATTATAGTTCATACGGTGTTAGAAAGACCAACCCCCTCCCTCCAAGCACACAACCCTCACCAGGATAAGCTGGTGGCAGATTCGTACTATCATCTTCGGCCAACAAGATTTATGAAATTACCAATCATATACAAATATGGACGTCGAAATTAATGCACAGCCCAAATGGAAATGTTTTCGTTGTTTTTTAAAACAAAAACGGAGCTCTGGTGCGGCTGGCTATTTCCTATAATTGCTTTGGCTCTACAGGTTATTATTTGTCCAATGAAAGAGCTCCAACATTGCATACGTAGAGTCTGCTCAGTAACGTGTGAGTGACATTAAGCCTGACCAATCGTATGGTGCTTCATCTGATGCGCAAGAAGACTGACGTTAAACTTATCGAATCAAATTTCAGACAAGTGAGCTGTGCAGGAAGTCAGTTGCCCTGGGTGTCTGTGTTCGTTGTCATACGCGCAAGGTAAGACAGGCAGTATGGCGGAAGAAGAGAGTGACCTGGAATCAGAAAGACTTAAAGAGGAATTGGAGAGTTTGTTGGACGCTACCAGAAATGACGAACCATGGCTGAAAAGCAAAAATTATTGTTCTAGGTTTTGCGAGGTAAGCGATGTGTTAAAAGCTTAATCTGACTGGACAAAGACAGCCGTGCTTTTAAAACCTAGCTAGCTAATTCCCTTCCCCCAATACCCATGGTACGCTTAGCTAGGTAGCTAGCGGAGACTGTTTACTTTACTTCCCCGAGTGGTCACGTTAATGTCCCCATGCTTAGCAAAGAACCTTGATTACATGTCTGATCACTGAGTTTGATAGGGAATGCTTGCTCGGCCAGAAGGCGGACAGTACGCGTCTCTCGTGCGGTTAGCAACGTCTCCACAGTCGCTGTGTTTAGTGGACGCCGTCTCGCAACATGCGGCATTGTTTAATAACACTGTTTTTCATTATATAACACTTTAATTTGATAATGACAATACGACAGTGCAAAATGCTGTTTAGAGTACTTAAGATTTATTTGCGGCTGTTGACAACTAGATTCATATTTACTTGGTGTTGATAGTTAATTCGGGGCTTTATTTACAATTTCTTATTTTAAAAAATGTGTTAATATGTTATACAGTTTTGAAGGGTATGTTTTTGGTAGTTACTAACAGATGGAGCAAAATTAAGGTTGCTGACTCATTTGACACGTTCTGCAGAAATTTGATTAGACGACTCATATCTGTCTACGTAAATCCAAATTATAACTTTACTGTGTCCTAACAATATTTATTAAGTTATTGTCGGCCAGAAACATCCTCACAGGTTACTCATTGGAAAGTGTGTTTGGTAAGCTATTCCTTGTATGTTCATATAGGAAAAAATAATTTGGCGTGGTTTGTTAAATACTTGCAATTTAAGACCGGCATTGTTACGGTGACTTCCTGGCCTCGAAGTTCTGGAATACTAATATTAAATACTTACTGTTCTATATGACTCTGTATTGGGTAAGTGGTTGGAAGATGGATGGGCGTTCTGACCATGCTCAGTATTCAGTAAATGGATCATATTTAAGTAGGTATGTTTTGCATGTGGGTTTCCCCAAACAGCTGGTGGAAGAACATGCTGGTCGATGGCAGGTGCCATTGCCTCAGCTGCAGGTGCTTCGGACGGCCCTCTGCTATTTCACCCATGGCACAGTCTCCTTCCCCAACGACTGTGAGCATGTGCAGTATACCCTGGGCAGCCTTGCTCTGTATGTAAAACTCCTTCACACTCGTACTGTTAATTGTGTCATTGTGCTGTATTTTGGTAAATCGATTGAGTAGATTTCAAAATGTAGTTTATTAATTATTCTTAAATATTGGGGAGTTAGGTTGCATCTGATGATGTTTTGTGTCTATTACATTTTAGATGTTTTCAGGTATCTAGACCTTTCAAAGAAATATTTTAAAATTTTGTAAAATATCTCTAGGGATGCACCAATCCCACTCTATCTGTGACACTACTGGTATCGATGCCTGAGCTTTGAGTATTGGCTGATACCGAGTACCGATCCGATACCAGTCTTTAATTAATAAGCTGTATGCTTTGCCTTGCAGTGTAGAAGAGACTGTAATCATTCTTTTGTGTGTAAGGGAACATCAGGCTTAATTTCAGCAAAGGTTATCTATATAGCAACAATTCAGTACATTTAGCCTATATATACAGTGGAAACCACTTATAGTGATCATGTCTGTGTGAAATTGATCATTATTACTGTTTTTTTTTCTTTGTCTGGACAAATTACCCACTTGTTGACATTTGTATATATTGCATGACTATAAGGTGATAAAATGGACAGCGTCGCTTTTTGCTGAATTTTACTGACTCTTTCAAAATACAGTACAAGCTGTTTCAAATTACAATATTATACAAATAAATTACTGAAATGTGTATAATTCAAACATGCTACAGTACAATAGCCTACTGTACATAAAATATAGCTCACTGTGATTTTGCTGTTGCCTCTCGGCATCATATCATAGGCTTATCATAGGCTTTGAGTCTATATTCGTCCTTGAGAGAAAATTACTTTTTCCCTTCAGGTTTTCTGTGCATGCAGCATTAGCCTCGGATAGCTAGCCAGAAGCAGACAGGGTAATTATCACCAGGCAAAGCAAGCTTATCAAAGTAAAAAAAACAAAACAAAACTGTAGTTTAATTTTTTCCCACTCGAAATGAACACTGTACAGACTACTTGATTACTACATGCAAATTATTTAAACAGTTTTTGTACAGGAATGATTCTGTC